TAAAAGGGTGCGGTGTGCAGAATCCTTCCTGTTGTGACCTTGGAAGAACAGGCATCTTGTGACTTTCCAAGTTTCACAATGCAGAGTGAGAGGATGCTGTTCTTTCCATATCCATTCTGCATATTCAGATTTTTCCATTAGGGTCCTTTAGCAATAGGAGGTGAAAATTTTGCAGTAGGATCAGAAACAGGGAACTGAGCAGGGGGGAGAAAGGGAAACAACTTGTCACAAAGTTTTTCCAATACTTGTCTGAGAAGCAATCTTCTGTAAAGCTGTTTCCTACTATCAAATTCCCCTAAGCACTCAAATTGTGAGCCCTGAGCTGGCAATCTGATGCTTGCTGTTTCATGAGCATGTATGAGATTTAAGCACACACACCTCACCTCACATGCTTTCCTTCATCCTGGAGCATTATCTCTGCAGATACCTGTTCAGGGTTCAGATTGAGCTCAGCTCCCATTGAGATGAGAAAGTCTCATCCTCCTGTTCTCAAAAATTTGCTTTTTGAGGGTCACATACATTAAGAAATGGCACAGTTATGAAAACATAAATTCTTTCACTGGTTGCTCTTGTTTCAATGAGTACTTCAGACTATTATTGTGTTTGTTATTTTCCAGTTGAAACAAATGCATTTCTTCTCCTGTCAATTCAGAGCTGAAACACAGACACAAACCCAGCACTGAAAAGCTGGTATTTAGCTCTTCACACTGGTAACTCTGATGATCTGAAAATAGCAAAATGTTTCTGTGTTGGTTTAATTCCTGCTGCTACATGGACTTCAGTATTAAAATGCATGAATTTCAACAGGGAAAAAAAAATCTAGATTTTTTTTTTCTAATTGGCTGTAAAAGTCAAGGGAGGGGACAACAGTGGGGCTCCATTTTACAAGTTCTAGATGGCTGGACTGTATTTATGCTGTTGCAGGAGCATCCACTTGCCTTTCTGAAAGCTGGGATCTGACTGAGGTTGGCTAACCTCCAGGTTTGTGAGACACAGCTGCATGGCAGCTTCTCAAATATTAATTTTTTTCTTCACTTTCAAACACTGTTCCTAAAAAGCCATTTGAAAATGGGAATAGATAGTGACTAGTCCCAGAAGCCAGAGACAAATTAGTGGACTCTCTTTGAGCAGGGGGAGATAAGGACAGACCAAAAAACTGCAATCTGTCAGACACTGGCACTTTCTAGTATGCTGTCTGCCTGTTGTGGGGTTGTATCCCAGAAAGTCTGTCCCAATTTATCACCTACTGTTGCTCTAGGTCAGTGTTGTGCCTAGTTCTGCAACTCCTCAAGGAACTGGTAGGGCTGACTCTGGGAAAGAGACTTCTTTAATTGCTCCAAGTGACACAAAGGAAAAGATATACAGCTGCACTGCAAAGCATGTGTTATCGGGGTGCCCTGCTCACACAGGTAAGGAGCAAATCTCTGTTGTAATTTCTCTATCAAACAGATCTGATACCCATATCTCTTCTGCATACCAAATATTCTCCTGGACCCAGACACAAACACTGTGGTGGTCTATGTAGTCCATTTAAGAGGCAGAAGGCCTACCCACTGCTGTATTTAAGCTTTTCCTCACTTTTGAAAGTTTAATTAGGAAAATGTAATGGCTTTGGGAGGTATATTGGTTGATACACTGAGTTTCCAAAGAGCATTTTATGGCAGCAATATAAGAAAGTTTTGCTTTTCATCTGTCTTTCACAGAAGCCTGTCTTTACTAAGTCTGCTTTTCTTGGAGAGATTCTAGTTGCAAAACAGTGTTTGATAGCATTCTTAATGCTGACAAAGAAAATAACCTCTCTCTTCCAGCCTTAGTCTTTGCCATCTAGTCTTTGTCCATGTTCACCTCCAGGCTTGTTTTTTGATGAACAAACTTCAACAAAAGCCAGCTATCCTAAAAGCAGACTGATCACTACAGGTCACTGCAGGGAGGCTGGGATTTTCTAAGCCAGCCAGAGGTATTGCTGGGCATTACAGTGATGTCCTAGCTCAGAATCTTAGGTAGGTGTTGGAGGTTGAACAGGGAGGCACTGATACATGTTCTTGACAACACAAAATGACCGCCTAACCACATGTTACCAACATAGCCCAGGATGGAAGGAATTGTGGTCAAAAGCTTAGTTTGACAGGACAGACAAGTAGAAAATGTCACCTACATGAAACAAATTACAGTCAGAGTCGTGCTCTGCACAGACCCTGACAGCTCTTGAAAGCCAGAATCATATACCCTCCCACCTGTACAAATTCAAGCAAGCTGCTTCTGCTGTGCCACCAGCAGACAAGAGTTCTCTCCAGAACTAAGGATTTTAATGTAGGAAGTGAAAATGTTGAAAGTTCCTTGCTTCCTGCCCCAATTGTTCCTTATCTTTGAGACAAAAAGAAGCACAAATCCTACCAAGGCAAAGGATTTCTCAGCTAGATTAAATTATTTACTTGAGGAATAACCGCATAATGATAGGCATCAAACAAGTGCTAAATTTACTACAGTTCTGTACAGGCTAATCCTGCATAAAATTAAGACATTTAGTAATAGCCATCACTTCTCATCCTGCTTCTGGATTACTGCAAAACATTCCTGTTGCTCCTTAGCTCTTACAAAATCTACCATATAGTGGATTGTATAGTATGTTTGGAAACATACTCAAAACCACTGTCATCTCCCAGCAAACTGGATATACCCATTGTTTGCCAGAAACAGCTCCCTGGGGGTCACACAGAGACTCTGCTGGGAGACAAGAGTTCCAGGTTCTTGCAAAACATTTGCCTTGAGGTGCCACAGTAATAATTGACCTATACAGGAACGTCTGTAATAAATTGCAGGAAGGCTCTGTTTCTAATGGCTCCATCAGCACAACTGATAACTGCTACTGAACTTGGTGAAACAGATTGTTTACATAATATGTGTTTTCCTAATGGTCTGATACACAATAATACACCATTATGAAGATTGCAAGTGTTGGTTTTGGCCAGACAGCAGCTCTAGAGGATCTTTGAGCATAATGTTGTTTTTCAATTCTGTGTCTCTTGATGAAAGGCTTGTAGGAAAAGTAGGTTTTTCAGGCTTAAAATTTAATCCAGGGTGTGGACAGGAGAACAGGACACAGCACACCCAGTCCCACATCCAGTGGTGTGAGCCACCAGCTTCGCTCTGTTTTTGCTCTGTCAGATTGAAGTAGTTTTCTGCTGATGGTCAGGTGTTTGGAATCAAATGTACTTGGCTACCTAAGGACCTGGCTTGGGGTTCCCTGGAGTCAACAGCGGTGGCCTTTTGAAGCCATCCTAGTAACTAAGTATTGGCTACCACCTGATACTCAAACCAACACTTCCAAAGAGCACCCACTTCTAGCTGGAGCCCTGTATCTGCATTCAAGGCCTTCAGCACTGAGCTGCAGATACAATGGGAGATGGTAGATCTGTCTAAATCTGCATAAGATCTTGATGCTGAAATCCTAGTTGCTGAAGGCTTTTTTGGTTGAAAAGCCTTTCCTAAGTTAAGATTTGACAATAGTCATACAGGTTCAAAAATAAAAGCTAGGATAGTACTCACTCAGGTGGATCCTTGCAGTCAGAACTACTAATGATATACTACTACCATGTTTTTATCCAGTTCTCCCACTGGGATATTAGAACACTCTCTTAAGTACGCTAAGTTGGAACTTCCAGCTGTTGCTGATCTCAACTCAAAAGTATAATCAGCTAAGTCAGTGTGATGATGTAACAGGGAGGTGCTGAACTAGCATGGGTATGTTACTCCTGATGTCTTTAAACATGCCCAGAAGTGTCAGCAAGCAAGGATAACTGGTAAAAGGAGCTGCTACAAACGGGTCTCTCTTGTCTGCTTGGCTAAGGATACAGCAACCATCAGTGGGGTGTGACAAATGAGAAGCAAGATAACCACCTTGAAACAGTTACAAATACTCTGCTTTCTAAAAGGGCTCTTTGGAATGTTTTCCTGTGTTTAAATGGCTCCTCATTGTTTTTTTAAAGAAACACCACACAGAAGAGTGTCTGAGAGTCCTCCAGCACATCCCAGCTGATGCAGAATCAGTCAAAAGTTATGGACATCCAAGGGAGGCCACAACAGATTTGTCACCTATCAGCAGGGCTGATGCACTGCTCCATAGCAGGCATGGAATTTAATCCTATGATGTCCTTTGTTTTCCAATGCCAATCACGGTACTCCTGTGCCTTTTTTTTTTTTTTTTTTTTTTTTTTTTTTTTTTTTTTTTTTTTATAAATTGAAAAAATATCCGGCATCTGGTCTCTGAAAAGGGTTCTGAAATTGATTTGGTGCATGAGATATCTGTGGCAGATGACTTGACCAAACCACCTGAGAAAGGGGCCAGAAGGAATACAAATGAACAGAAAAGGAGTAAGAATTTCCCATAATTCCTTATCAAGATGCACCAATCTTCTTTAATTAGATCACTGGCTCTTGTACACCTTTACAAACAAGTTGCTGGATGCAGAATGCCTACTGAGAAAACTAGTACTAGTAATTTATTTTTTTTAATCCAGGCAGACCAAAAAAATGCAAAAGGCCATATTCTGCAACATCTTTGCAATTCCTGTAGCACCATGCATGCCCCGGAGAGCAAGTCTACAATTCTGTGGAAACATTAATACCTCTTTGGTGAATTTTATGTTCAGATTTATTTCTTCCAGCACACATTAGATATTCCTACCCCCTACAGAACAGGGTACAAAAGATTTCTGGAAAGCTGGGCTTTCTACAAAAGTAGAACCGGCATGCACTGAAGCCCTCCTACATGATACCAAACACTGTGCATTCAACAGACCTGCTGGTTAATGATCTCGCTCATAAGTAATGTTTTAACCTTAGAATGGTTTTTGTTTGCTTTTTTTGCCACAATGCCAAAAAGGAAGTGTAGGAGAACGTGGGCAGGACAGTGGCCAGGAGCCTCATGACCTCATCTTTTTCCACCACATGGGGATCGGTAGCTGTGCTTGGGACAGGGTTTAAATTCCCGGAGCTCAGAGATGTCAGGCAGCAGGGGACGAGGGGAGAAAGCCAGAGCTGCTGGAAGTCAACTGTCTGGAGCTGCTGCTGGGGTCACCAAGAGTGCTCTTGTTGTGGCTGACTCCTTTAGCACCAGAAAAGGTAATGTTTTTTCTTTTTTACCTGATGTCCCAGTCCATCTGCAGCTTTAGCCTAGGAAGCACTGAGCAGATCTTTGAAAACTGCTTCACTGGGCAGGGATGTTTGATATTTCTCTGTGGAAAAAGGTGTGCTTTTATAGGAGCAAGGTTGCTTTAGCAATGCCAGGTATTACACATAATCACAATTTTAAATTTGTGCACTGATAGATGTTGGGAGAAGGTTACTGAAAACCCTGCCACTGAATCATGAACTAGAAACTCAGAGCTGGTGCTTGAACACAGAAAGTTTTCTTCCTCATGTAATCACTGCCTGGCAGTGTTCTTGTTTCTCCTGGCAGGCTCACAGCTTGTGCTGCACAATCCTGAGTTGATGGGACAGTGAATGGGACACACTTTTCTGTGAAAATTGAAATTGCAATACCTCTATTAGAGTGTCCTGTCTCAGGGCCAGCCTTACTAATGCATTTTAAATGGCCCAAGCAGCTTTCTTTCCTGCTGTGACTTACCAAAGTTTTGAATGACTCTTGTTCATCAGTAAATTGGTTTAAATTCTCAGGGATGTTCCTTATTCTGGGAGCTGGTCAGTAAGCACTGAAGTTTACTGTAGCTCTCCTAATTTCAGCAGGAATCTCTTATTTATTAAATTGTTAAAGCTGCAATGCGAGCTATGGCAGCAGCTATTTCACCTAATCTCTTGTTTGGAAATAGGTTATTTTGTTCTAACTTCTGGATGGGGAAAGGTAGGTCTATCAATAAAAGCAGTTTATGTTCATATAAACTGACTTTACTCAGCAACTCAAGTATTAACTTTATTATTATTTTAACCCTAAAAACTAGTTTCAAAATAGCTGACAAGACAATACAAATTGCTTGCCTTAACCTGCCTCTTTTTCAAAACAATTGTGTTAAGTGAATGAAGATAAACCAAAGCTGGTATTTATAACAGTTTTTCACAGAGCTTTTCATTTGCCTATGCAAGTCAGTAGACAACAGGAGTCAGTTCACCTTTTCAGTGTGGTTTTTCGCACCACTGCTCAGCTCTTCTTAGCATTCAGTTTCAAAATCCTTGTACCTTTTTGAGCTGCTAAATCATTACAAGGTGGGTGGGAGGTGGTGATGGAAGATAGAAGAAATAAAATTAGGATGGGCAAGTTGAATCCATAGCAGGGACCAGGTCTTGGCATAGTGAAGTACACAGGGATAAAGGAAAAGTCTATAGCATTTTTGTGGTATTTTACTTTATTGACTTACTTTTCCAAAATGTTTTCTAGGTAAAATATCACAATGAAGGTGGCAGTTCTGTGTTTATGTCTTATCAGCATCACAGCTGCATGGCCAGTGAGTAAATCACTATCCCCAGCACTTGCATTATTTCCTTTGCACATCAGTGAGAAATACTGATAAATGTTTTTTCTCTCTTCTCCCTTCAAGGTGATTCAATCCAAGCAGCATGCCATTTCTGCCAGCTCCAAAGAAAAATATGTAAGGTCATTTTGTCTTTCTGTTAATTTTCTTTGATAAGTACTTTTTAATTTTTGTTTGTTTGTTTGTTTTCCTCCAGAACACATTTTCTGGTACTTGTTCTATGATTGTAGGTGCTTGCAGAACATGTCCTTACCTAGCTGTTATGAGCTAGTTTCAAAGCAGAGAGACACGGATATCCACAGACTTTTTCCTGTGTCACATGTCTTGGTTGTGGACTTTCATTAGTTCTATCTCCAGACCAGCACTGGAAATCTTTTTTCTTAAAGAAAAATGTTTTAGCTCTTAATTAAAAAGAGAAAGGGACTGCAGTATGGCAAAATTACCATAACCCATATTCATTAGTGTGGATCAGATGACAATATTTGGTGTTGGAAGAGCACCTTAATCCAATATCCTTTTTTTTTTTTTTTTTGAATGATGTAAGTGAACTTCATTTAGTCTTGTTATATAGCTCTTCAGTTCATTCCCCATTGCTAGCTGTTACCCTTGTAAAATCAATTCTTGGCTCTAAGAACCAACTACTGCATTTAGTTTAGAATCTTCATGAGGTGGGAGAAAAATCACCCTCCAGAAAGGCCCTAAGAACTAGCAGAAGCAATGATTGTTAGATATAATTCCAAATTCCACTCAATAAAAACAAGACTGGAGAAATTGATCTGAATTTCCCCAGGCTCTGCCAGTGAGAGAGGCACATCTATCTATCTTATAGGTACAATGTTCATCTGGGATGATGGCTTGTTCTGAGTCCTCTTCCTACTTCAATGAACAGCTGAGGACACATCCCACACCGAAGGACTATGTACTGCAGATGCCACATCTGCCTGAAAGCACAGGTTGGGATGCAGCAGTTTTGCCTGCTTCTTTGAGGATTAACCCCCCATTTTATTTTCTCTTGAAGGACTCCAGGGGCCATCACTTGCACAGATATCACAATGACCATGTGAATTCTCAGTCTCAGGAGAGTCAGCAGCACCCACAGAGTGACCTGGCATCATCTCAGCAGGTACAGACACCTAACTGGAAGAGAAAGCAGAGCATCTTTCCATGCCAAGATTTGCAAGTTATGATTAAAGAATAGTCAACATGTTGATCAGCTCCACTGCATGTGCCTTTGTGTACTAACATTGAGCTTTGTGTTCCTTTCAGACCCTTTACTCTTCAGAAGAAAGTGTAGATGTCCCAGAACAACTGGTAAGTGTTTTGAAGGACAGCATGTCCATTGAGTGCTGTAGAGCAGGCAGTGTGGTACAGCTCTCATTTTCCTCACTCAAGTGTGGCTCTTGCAGTAACATCTCTCCCGAAATAAAACAAAGCTCCAGGCAGGGGGAGGTGAACTCAGTGCAGTGCCTGCACATAGCTCCTCAGCAGTGCCTATGCCCTTGGCAAATGGGACAGGTACAAGTCTGCACCTCTCTCATCCGTGTTCAGTTGCCTGATGTGTAATAAATGTTTTCCAGCACTTTCCTGATGTGTCAAGAAAGAGCCATGAAGATGTGGATGATGATGATGATGACAATGATTCCAATGACACGAATGAATCCGAAGAGGTTGTCACGAGTTTTCCCACAGACATTCCAATAACTGAACCATTCCCCACTTTCCCTTTCACCCGGGGAGACAATGCTGGCAGAGGTGACAGTGTGGCCTACAGGATGAGGGCAAATGCTGCACTGTTGAAGTCTATCAAACGCCACAAAGCTACCAAAAAGGTGGATATCACTGACCAGTGGTGCCCACGTTCTTGGAAATGGGGAGTGAACTTGAAAATGGACATGGCATTTTATGGGAGTTGGTTTTGAAAACTGGTATAGGGAAAGTAGGCATAAGTGAAGGAATGCATTTCCTTTCTCTGGATACCACAGCTCAGGGCTCTCGACGGCTGTCAATGCACTGGGGCAGGAGTGCAACCTGCTGCTCTAAGCTGTGCAAAACTGCAGTTTGCACTGTCACGATATACTTGCACACATGAAATCTGAGGCCAGGAGCAAATGAGAATTTCTCACAAAGTGAAAGGTTCACGTAACTCCATAAAACACCAGAGTATCTCCAGGCAGAGGTTCATCATGCAGGCTTTGAGCACCCCTGCAGTCCAAGCAGGCTGCATTAGTGCAGTACTTGATGGAGCAGTTCCTCAGGAGTGACAATGACTCTTATTCTGCTCTCTAACACAGCTCATCTATGATGCCACTGAGGAAGATGAGAGCGACATGGATGCAGACAGCCAGCGCTCTGTCTCCCGGGATGATTCTGCTTCCCGCAGATCCCTGAGGAAGCACGCCAGCAGCGTGGTATGGTCTGACCAGAGCAGCGAGCCGGACAGCGACCCGCATGACCGTAGCTTGGAAAACGACAGCAGGCCCAAATCCGACAGCCACGAGGCAGAAGGCGACAGTAGCAAGTCTGGTGTCAGAGGGGACAGACTCTCGAGTGTGGAAAGCAGGGAGAGAGGGGACAGCCACTCGAGTGGGGAAAGCAGGGAGAGAGGGGACAGCCACTCGAGTGGGGAAAGCAGGGAGAGAGGGGACAGCCACCTGAATGCGGAAAGCAGGGAGAGAGGGGACAGCCACTCGAGTGTGGAAAGCAGGGAAAGAGGGGACAGCCACCTGAATGCGGAAAGCAGGGAGAGCCGGGACCGCGTATCAGCTCAGCTCTCTGACGATATCAGCAGCCAAACGCTGGAAAGTGCCGAGGATTCTCAAGATCGTCACAGCATCGAAAGTAACGAAGTCACCCTTTAAAGGGAGATAAAAATAATATTTTCCTTCTTTTCCAATCCCTACCTAAGGGAAGCAGGGAGTAGCTTCATTTCGGGGAACTGTGTGTTAATGTAGTTCGCGTGGTGACTTGGGGTTCGGGGTGGTCCACGGCCCCTGGGGCTGTGCCGGCGGAGGCTGTGGGACACGGCGGGCGAGCGTCGCCCCTCGGGCACCCTGCTCTCTGCGCTGCCGGGCGGTGTTTTGCTGTAGCGGGACTTAAATAAAATCTCAAAACCCTGTACCTGCATTACTATTCACTGGGGCTTGGACCGGAGGGGGGGGTGGGGGGGGAGCGCTTTAATACTTCTTCTTAAAATGATGTGAAATGGCTGTTCCTCACAAATTTAACCAGTACAACCTCTCCGCGAGGCCTCCTCGTACTTTCGCCGAGGATGACCGGGACGCCAAACACCCAGCGCTGGCCCCTGCTCCGCTACCGCAGGGGCGGTCCGGGGCTGTCCCGGAGAGTGGTGGGAGGAGGAGAAGGAGGGCGGGAAGGAGGTCCCGGCCGCCGCTCCCGCCGGGAACCAGGGCGACTACATCTCCCTCCGTACCCCGGGCTTTCCGCCAGAGGGCGGGGAAGGGGAGGCAGCGGTGGGGCCGATGGCGGGCGGTGGCGGCAGCCGGCGCGGGCGGGAGCAGCTGGAGCTGGAGCGGCTGGGGCAGGCGGCGCGGACCGGCTCCTGCCCGCCGTCGCCGCCGCTCTCCGCCTGCTCGCGGCAGGCCTGGAGCCGGGACAACCCGGGCTTCGAGCCTGAGGAGGACGCGGCGGCGTCGGCGGCGGCGGCGGGGCCGGTGCTGGAGATGGAAGTGGAGTGGGGCAGCCGAGCCGCGTCGTCGCTGGGCAGCGGCGCCGGGGGCCCGGCGGGAGGCGGGCGGCGGGCGCGGCGGGGCCCTATGGGGCGCGGCGGAGCCGAGGGGCCGGGCCGCCTCCCGGGGCTGCCCGACGGAGCCGCGCCCCGCAGAGCGGCCTGGGCCAAGTGCCTTGCGCGGAGACTGCGAGGTGAGAGAGCCCCGGCCACGCAGTCCGCACCCCGACTCGGCTCCTCAGGCGCGAGTGCCGCTTCCTGCGCTCTGTAGAGTTGTTTGTAGTCTCTCCTCTGCAGTTGCCTGTAGTCCTCCTTCCCCTCTGCCCGTGTCCTTTTCCATCCATCCTTGCCTGTGTCTCTGTGTCCCCATCTCTTCGTGCACATCTGTCTTCCGATCCCCGTGCCGGTTATGTCCCCCAGCACACGCAGATGCACCCCCGTCTCGCTCCTTCCTTTTCCCACCTCTCTGCCTCCCAGGTCTTACTCCTGGCTGCTTTCCGTGTAAGACACTCCCGCGTAGGGGAAGTTCAGGCTGGACATTAGGATGAATTTCTTTACAGAAAAGGTGGCGTTGGAATGGACTGCCCGGGGAGGTGGTGGAGCCACTATCTCTGGAGGTGTTTAAGGAAAGGCTAGATGTGGTACTCGGTGCCATGGTCAAATTGACGTGGTGATGTTGGGTCATAGGTTAGATGTGATGATCTCCAGAGGTTTTTTCCAACCTCGGCTTTCTGCCCCAGCACCAGGTCTTTGGAAGGTTGGAGCAGAATGCTTGTGCTTCTTTTTCAGCAATACCCCGTTCATAGAAGAGGTGGTTAGGATGGGATGGGATACTTAGAGTGGGTTTCTGGGAGGGTGCTTGAATCACTTTTTTTTTTCTGCAGTATTGTGCAGTGCCTTGGTGCTGCCCTTTACAGTTAAGTGCTTCCTGTTGTCACACAGATGGTGACCAGGGACAGAGCTGGAAGCAAAACTGAGCACATATCAAGTGAACATTTGAGGTGTTGTTCAAAGCTTACTGCAGTAACTCCCTGCTGAGCAGCCTTGTACAGGGTTGATTTGACAACAGCAGAGAGAATGCTGGATGGGGAGTCCTTTGGATTTAAGGTTGTGGGAGCACAACCTTGAAAAACCCTCCTTTCTTTTCAGAGAGGCTTAAAATGTCAGCTTCAAACTACAAGGATTTTAAACAGAGCGTTGGTTTAAGTGTAAAATCTTTATAGTTATAAAGCTGCAGAAAAAGCAAACCATATTTAGAAAATAAAGATTCTTCTTCTGAAATGTGGATTTTCTGAAGATAGTAGATAGTACTGTTACTGGCTGCCACAGCATCAGTGGAACTGTCAAAACAAGCTTGACTTTAAGCAAGGATTTGTACCTTCTCTGATTTTCATGTGCATTCAAATATGGTTTGCTGTAATGATTTCTCTAGCTTTGGCTGTATTGCACCAAAAGAAATCCCTCTTGAACATTGCAATACCTTAGTGGTATGCAAGTCAGACTTGCAGAGATTATGGAATAGAGCATGCTTTCTTTTTAGCAGATTTTATTGGGACCATGTTCAATGACCCAAGTCACTTCATAACAAGAAACCAGAATAACCAGGAAAAACTACCAGTAATTGTGTTGTGCATGAATTGGCACTGTGCTGTTTGGAGTCTCTAGTGGTGTGTTTGTTTTAGTCCATTGCTGAGATATGTAATTGCCTAGGAAAAGAGCTGCTTCATATGGAGAAAGTTAAGTCCTTTTATAAAAACTTCTACGAAGTTTTTATACTTCAGGTGCTCCCTTTGTCTTAGTTGTTGCCAAGAAGGAACCTCCTGTGTATATTTTTAACTGTGGTAAAAAGCAGCAGTGTTTGTACATGAGACAAATGTGAGTGACCTGGTGGTGGCCTGGCAGGTGTCGCTCCTGTTCCATCTCTGTTGTGATTTGTGCAGTAGTACTCAAAACAGTTTCTATTGTTTCCTGACCACCTTCTATAGGCAAGTGTAGCTAAAGTTACTGTAGTCAATAGATCCTTTTCTGGCTCTTTGATGAGAATGTTGCCATAAACTCCTGAGCACAGTAAATGTCTGGGTGAGACGTGGGTGCTGTGGAGGTGCTGCAGGGCACTGTACTTCTGTGGAATAGGTAACAACTTATCTGAAGAATGTGATCCCTGTGCTGCACAGTTTGAAGGAGCTGATTGCAAGCCTGACATTATTATAGGGTACTTGAAGAATAACTGCGGGTTTACTATTGGAAAGAATACTCCACAGTTCTTTTGACATTCCATGGATATCCATGAGTATCTTTGAAGACTGGAAATGGTGCATTCAGTTTTATTTCAAGGACTACAGGAAAGTTATTTAATGGAATTCCATCTCACTAGATAGAATTCAACAAGAGGGAACAGTCCTTTGGATATCACAAGTGATAGTGTCACCATGGCAAAAAAGGTTCCACTTAGTATTGAGGAATGTTCAATGACAGATTGCACTTTACTTGCTGTGAGTTATGAAAGAAAAATGCAGAGGGGATTTAAAGTATTGGGATTTTGGTAATTGCTGTAACAGGAGTTACTAAGTGAATAGAACTGACTATCAGTAGTTGAGATTCTTCTTTCTGTGGATTCTGTTCAGATTCTAACAGGAATATTTGTGAAATGCCTTTAGTTCCTCTAGTTTTACAGATCTCTTCAGCAAATATCCCAGATGCTGAGAGGAGAAAAAGGACTGACTATTCTACTCCGTTAAGGAGGAAGTTACCAGAAGTTTTGATGGGTAAAAACAAGGTGTGTTTCTAGAGCCAGCCTGGAAAGGAAATCCTGCCTTGTAGAGCTGTACTTGGTCACCCAGTGCTGCCATGCCCTCATGTGTGTCATCACTAAAGTGTGTTGGGCATTTCTTGAAAGGTTTTCTTAGTTATTGTTATATAAAGGTACAAGATACCCTTCCCAGTCACTCGTTAATCGATACTTTCATGAAGACTGCTACATACAGAATGAGTATGAGCAACTGTTGTTGTTAGTTGTAGATTTATTTGATAAAAATACACAGATTCAGTCAAAGAGTTGATGAATAGCAAATGGATGTAAGAAAACAAAACAGTTTTGTTGCTTGCAGCAGATGTCAAATCCAGCACTGCTTATCTCTATGTTTGATGCATCTAAATCAATATTCTAATAATGGAAAAAGGGGAATAATATATTGCAAAAATGTAACAGCTAATGAAAGCTCCAAGCTAGCTGATGGGAAAATTCATTGTTCATTCAGCACAAAAATCATTGTGTGATCCCTGGTGCTGTTTAGCTGGATTTTTTTCTTTGCTGTAACTTTCTGTTCTTTGCTGACTTAACTCCTAACGATAGTCTAATATGACAGAGTTTGAGTTTGGAAACTTTCTGCTTCTGTTCACCACATTTCTTATTGGTGAGTAATGTGCTGACAGCCAGGACTTGGCTTTCTCGCCAGCTTAGCTCACTGGCTTTTCCAGCCTTTTCTTCCTCTCTTCTATAATGTCTTCCTGCCTTTATTATGAAGGTTGCTAGTGCAACATAGTGCTGTTCTAGAGGCTGAATTTTTTGAGTTATTATTATTGACTCAGTAAATGTTCTTGTATTTGTGTTTTTGTCTTCAAGAATGACATAATGGGGAGGATTTGGCATTCGGTGTAGTAAAGTTGCAGTCTGCACATTTTCAAACTTGGCCTTAAAGAACAGCTTTGAAAAAGCTCTCTGTCAGCTCTGGGGCTGACCCTAGGGAAGCCCCTAAATAACCAATTAAGCCACGTGAACAGAGATTAATGCTGAAACTCTTAGTGCTTGCTGTGCCCATGAAAGAGAAGTTTCCAGGTTTATGTCACAACTTAAAAATGTGGTAGCTGAAAGGCTTCAAGAAACATCTAACACATTTTTTTTTTTCTCATTTATGCAGGTAGAGGGAAGAGCTTCCTTATTCCCATCTCTGTTAGCAAACAAAGGTCTGCAGCAGACAGCTTTGCCCATTGTCTTAGCCTTACAGCAGTGGTTACAGATTGACTGAACTCATGCTTCATTCTTCAGTTGGAAGAGATCACCAAAGTTCAATAGCTTCTCTCCTTGTCTTTTTGGGAATGTCAAGCATTATATGAAATGAGGACCAGGCAGAAACAGTTCAGCTGATGCAGTTGCTCAAGCTGAGAGTTAGACTGTACAGCAGTTCTCATTTAGGCTGCTACTGATGTTTAATTGATAACGCTTTGTTGTGCAGGGAAAGAAACTATGCAGAAATGCTCACCAACATCCCTGCTGTGTGTCTTGCCTGTGTGAGAGGGGAAGGTTATGATATGGTGTTTTAAAAATGTTTGACTCAAGTATCCTCCTTTCATGTAGAAAATTAAGACTGCTCCTAAAGGCTCAATAATGAATGTGCATTTTCATTCATTGAACAATGATTTACATGTTTAAAAGAAAACATATCAAAACACTGCATTTCCATTTCTTGACGGATAGCTGTCTGTGCATGTCTCTGTATGTTGTATCTGTTTTTATACCATGTAGTTCTAAGTGACAGCACTTCTGCAAATCTTCCAAAGATGCTGTTAGAGCTCTGCTGAGCTGTTCCTAAGTTATTATGGTGTCTCATTGATATTTGGTACTGCCTGAGGCCTCATTCTCTCTACAAATGAAGCTCCTCTTGCTTAAACTTAAAATCCATAGAAGAACCTGCAGCAATGGTTAAGCTTTCAAGGTTAAGGTTAAGCTTTCAACAAAGGTTAAGCTTTCAACACCACTTACTATCTGTACCAGACATCTGTGCACATAATTTTATATATATATATATATATATATATCTCCTTTTAAGGTCTGTGGGGGACAAGACTCATGGAAGAGAGCAACACCAGCAGAGAGCAATATTTGAAAAGTATATTACGGGAACTGATCACGTACATGGTTTTCCTCGTGGTCCTGTGTGTCTGTAAGTACTACTCAGCACCAGTGCATCCAGTTCTGTACTACCTGCTTGTTGTGATTCCAGAAAGAAGGTTGTTTGTGGGAGAAGAAGTAATAGACAGGCAGGCAAATACTTGGAATCAAATATTTCTTTTTTTTCTGCTGATGAGCTGTTGCTTGAGACTGAAAATACTACAACTTTCTGCGCCTCAACAAGTTTAGAGTCTTCAGACAAAATGATAATAGACTTGTTCTTTGTTTTTAGGGAGCATTTTTTTATTGTAGTACTACATGGCAGTGTGATACTTCTGCTACACTTTTTGAAATCACTGAGCAGAAATGGTAAATGAAGAGGAGGAGTTAGTCATCCAGGACAAATAATTGAATCACCACATTTGAAGTTCATCAGCAAGGTTATATACAGTTCACAGCTGAAGACTTCTGTGGTTTGTGCCATTTCTTGTCTTGATAACATATGAAGTATCATAACAGGAAAGAACACAGAACATAGTAATATTCAGTTTAAAATGCAAGAAAGAACTTCTTGTGGAGTTACAAAATGTCTGTTTTATTTGTTTGCTAGGAAGAAAACCAACAAAATGTGTACACTAAATTAGTGTATCTTTAGAAAGCCAGTTATGTTTCAATTCTCCAGTTTTTAGTGTGAGCAGTTCTGCCCTAAATGCCTGAAATGCTGGTGACTCTTGAGTTACCATTTATGATCAGTTGTAATACAGCAAAATGATGTTTTAAATTTTTGTGAGAGGGAATCTCAGAGTGAAAAAGTAAAGGCAAAATTACACTGGTAGACTGTCTCTGAGAGCAAGTCTGCTCTGCTTGAACGTAACAGAATTACTAAAAAGCCCACATTTTATACTATTGACACAGCTGTTTTGATGTTGTACTGCAGGCATGTTTATATATTAAATATCATGGGTTTTTTTTCCTTCCTGAGTAATTTAAGAATGCTTAGATCAGGTTTATGAACAAAGCAGTGCAAGGGTGCTTGTGGCTGGCACACTGTAGCACCAGGAGAAATGTTGCAGTGAGGGGGTCTGCCTTAAAGTGAAATTTGTTTCAGCAGGAGAAGTTTGACTCTTAACAGGCTGTTGACTGTTTTGCTACAGAAAAAGATTTTTGCTAACAGAATAAAGGAAAAATGTAGTGTGTTAAATATCTGGAGATATTGCTGACTTATTAGTATTTTTTAAGTATCCTTTTTATTTTTCACATAAGCAATAACTGGAGGTCAGTATGGTCTGTGGCTTGGCATGCCCTAGGAGAGTGCTTCCTAGTGCAGGCTAAATGATGAACATTTATTGTTCTCTTGTTTTTTGCAGAGTACATGTTTAGAGAGAATCCAAGTATTGCACAGTCACATGATACATTCCATGTGCACAGCAGAACTCTATTAAAAATAGTTCTTGCTCTCTGGTTGTTAAGGGAAACAAACAATTTATAAATTTTATACAATTACCAAAACTGACAGTGATTGTTCAGTGTAGGTCTAATTTTTCAGACTCCTCTGAGTTTTAGCCATAGAGTGGTTCAAGTATTTACACGTGGTAATAATACCTATTGGTGATGGAGAGACGGGGACATCTGAGCTTGCATCAAGAGCCAATTTTATTGAGAATATAAGGCATTTATATATGGTTTTGCTGCTATGGCACTTATATAAGGTTTTGTTTTTGGTAACAATTTCCCATTGATTACACATTCTTCATGACATCACGTCACCTGGTAACATTATCTTATCACAAAAGTTTTACAACATGTCTCTTGCTCACTTCTTGCCCAGGGAGAATTTATCTGTGTTTGTCTCTCCTAAGGTTTCTGCTTGATCAGGCCTAGGATATCAGGTTCCTTTATCAGTTCCATTGTACTGTTTTATTCCCCATAAATACCCATGCCAGTGACTATTTCCTCAACCCATCTTAGTTTTATACATAATTTGTGCTCTGTGGCCCTCAGCCATACCTTTGGCCCTGTGTGAGGAAAAGGACTAATACAGTCCTTTATTTTGTGTGAGGAGTCTCTCTTAAAAGCACTGCACAGCTGTACTGGACGTTCATTGCCTAATCCATGTCATTCCCAGTGCCCTGCTGTATCCTGATTGACTGTCATTATCTTCTCAAGCACAGCATAGTTGTCCTGAGGTCTTTGTGCCATCTCTGCCAGTTCTCCCTGCATGCCTTGGAGAGCACAAGCCACCTAAAAAGGCACTGCCTGCCTCTCTTCAGGCTGCTGAATTGTGCCTTTGTTTTCCTTGAGGTTTACTTTGGTAGAAGCATTAATAATAGAATGAGGTGTGGAAAAGAGAAGAGAGTATTATAAATTGATTGATCAGTCTGCCTTCACTGCTTTTTATATTTTAATCACAATTGACAGATAAATGCTGCTTGGTGTGGGTTTTGTTTTGCTGTTTAATAGTTCCACAAATGCAACTTGATGTATTCAAAACAAATAAAGGTTTGGGTTTTGGGAGTTTTTTTTGTTTGTTGGGGATTTTTTTGGGTTTTTTGTTTTGTTTTGTTTTGTTGGGTGTTTGGTTTTTTTTTTTTTTTTTTTTTTTTGGGTTTTTTTTTTTTTTGTTTGTTTGTTTGTTTTGTTTTATTTGGTGTGGGGGTTTTTTTGTTGATGTTGTTTTCAGGGGGTTTTTTTCTCTTTTTTTCATTCCTTCATCTCTCTTTTTACCAAACCTTCTGCAGTGACCTATGGGACGGTGAGTTCCAGTATGTACTATTATACAAGGGTTATGTCACAGCTCTTCCTGGAAACACCCGTGTCAAAAACGGAGAAAACTGATTTCAAAACTTTGTCCACAATGGATGACTTCTGGAAGGTAATCTAAACCCAAGTTTTTGTATCTGTGTTGCTGTGGTTCACTGGTACTGTCATGAACCATAAATTTAACCTTCAGAATCTTATTTCCTAATGTGGTCAGGCTTGTGCATGAAAATCTATGTGCACAATGTCAAGGCACAAAATAGGCCTTTAATATGTGAAAATTTAGAGGTCAAATAATGTTGGTGGGGCAGGGCAGGGCAAATTTGTGAAATGTCTTTGGAGGGCAGGTAATAGTAAAGTCTTCTGTCAGAGAAATTGTTAACTGCAATTCTAACACTTCTGTGGAATGAAGATCTACAAAAACAGTGCTGGCAACAGGCAAACTGAAGTTCTGTCATCCTCCCCAGTTCACAGAAGGCCCTTTGCTGGATGGTCTTTACTGGGAGATGTGGTACAACAACAAAACCATGGCAGAAAACAAAAGCTTCATTTATTACGAGAACCTGCTCCTAGGAGTGCCCCGCATTCGGCAGCTGAAAGTCAGAAATGGTTCCTGCTCCATACCTGAAGATTTAAAGGAGGAAATCAAAGACTGCTACGATGTCTATTCTGTAGCTAATGAAGATACTGCTCCTTTTGGACTCCGGAATGGAACTGCGTATGTAGCATTCATGTAGATACATACTCATTTTTTATATGCTTTTATATGTGACCCATTTTTCTATCTTAATTTTATGGTGTTAGTCAAAGGAACTTTGTAACTTCTTTCTCAGTGGTTACATCAAAACTTTGTAGCAAGGACCCCATGAATTAAAGCATATTTAGTAGCTAGCTAATGCATGGCTTTTGGTCAGTTTTTGTTGATATCTGTTTTATTAATTGCAAGTTAAAGGTGGAAACACCAATGTGCTCTCTTTCACTTCTGAACTAGCTGGACATACACCAATGAGAAGGATTTGAATGGCAGCAGCCACTGGGGCTTGATTGCCACATACAGTGGGGCTGGTTATTACCAAGACCTCTCGAGGACCAGAGAAGTGACTGCTCTGCAGATTGCAAGACTGAAGAAGAACCTGTGGCTGGACAGAGGGACCAGAGCAGCCTTCATTGATTTCTCTGTGTACAATGCAAACATCAACCTGTTCTGCGTGATCAGGTATGAACAGAACCATGACAGTGTTCAGTTGCACGGTGTGGGTTGTAGACTTGGGGTTTTCTTGTGATTGGTGTTGTTTTGGGGACATAGGTGAGTATGTTTTGTGTAAAAGGGATAGACAACTGAAGTGCCATGCCACCCTGTCAAAGAAGTGAGACTCCTCATGGAGTCTGTCCTGGCTTTCCTGGTGCCACAGTGCCTTGGGTGGAGTTTGCAGGAGACCTTTCTAAAGAGTTGGCATATTCAAGTAAATACATGGGTATAGAGCATCAGTCTTTGGTTTAGGCAGCATGAAACAGGCAGAGATGAAAACAAATCTTTCTGTCTCTGTTTCTTCACTGTTCCTGAAAGGCTTTGAGTTTTAGTCAAAATTGAGTGTGGTCACATTTACAACTTTTGTGTGGTGTGAAAACTCAGAATCCTATATGGGTTTGTTTCTGTTATTTAGATAATTATACAGATAAACCCATGTGTCTTTTAGTAGTGCTTTTCATCAGTTCTTGTTAAATTAAATTCTTTTTTTCTTTGCCTTTTTTTAAATGCAGGTTGCTAGTAGAGTTTCCAGCTACTGGAGGCCTGGTTACATCTTGGCACTTTCAGCCTGTGAGGCTGATTCATTACATCTCCACTTTTGATTTTTTCCTGGCAGCCTGTGAAATGTCCTTCTGTCTTTTTATTCTGTATTATATGGTGGAAGAGGTCTTAGAAATTCGCATACATAGACTGCGCTACTTCAGAAGTGTTTGGAATTGCCTTGATATCCTTATCATTGTGGTAAGTAACCTTTTTAATCAGGCTAAAATTGCTTTCTAAAGTGCACTTTGTGGGAGACATTAATTACTCAGTGTTCCTGTTGTGGTTTTAAGGTACAGGACCATCATTAGGAAGAACACTTCCAGACTATTAGGCTATTCAGTCTGAATATGACAATTTTAGTCTGTGTTGCAATGTTGGTATGTTTCACAAAGTTGGTTGTTCTGTCTTCAGTGCTTTCCTCCTGGTGCAAAGTTAGAGTATTTGTCTATCATGCATTTTCAGTTTTTGTTTGTACAGACTTAGCTTTTATTGGAGGTGACAAACTTGCCCTCCCTTCTACATATCTGGTACAGACTATTGCATTGGCTTTCAAATAAGAAAATCATCTGCTTTAAAGAAGTGATTTGCATTTCAAGGAATGGGACTGGGATTTGAATACGTTTAGAAAGAACCGCAAGGAGATTTGTCTTGGTATTAAATACTCACCAGCTAATACCAAGTTTGAAGAAGGGCCTCAGAATTGTAGAGTGCTAGCAGCTGTCTAGGTTAAGTGAACAGTGTTGCACATCAGTAATCTTAGTGCACCAGAAAATATGAGCTTTGGATATAAAGCTGCATAATATAATTCTTTCTGGACTCAGACCAAGCTGTGCTTACCAAACATATACAAAGCCAGAAATGCTGAAACAGTTCCAGTCCCATGCTCGTTTTGTATCTTCAGGCTTGGATTAATCAAAGGTTTCAAGTCTTGAAGCCAGTATTTGTATTCCAGGGAAATCGTACTTGCATCACAGTGCTTTGTAAGGGCTGCTTAGGAGGATGTTTACATGAACTGTGTGCTGTTTTTTGCACTTAATGGTTGGGCAGGGATAAAATGCTTTGCTGTTACAGTCAGTGAAGAGTATTCAAGTGTGAGTGTAAAATTCAGTTCACACAAGAGGTCAGAACTCTATGTTCATGCCTTGCCTGAGGGGCATTGTTTAAATGTAGGATTATGTACTTATGACTCTCTGTATGTGGTGAAGTGTTCACTTACAGTAATGAACAGCACATTTGCAGAAGTCAAAACAAGAAACCTCTGTGGCAAAACTGCAGCTTCTCTGCTGTTGCTTTTTCTGGGCAATTCTGCTCAGTCTGTGCTCTGGAGAAACTGTAGTATCTTTTTTGCTACTGCTGTCTTTTTGCTCTGTGTTCTTTTTCACCTTTGTTTGTTTGAGTTGTCATATTCCCTTCCTTACATTTTCTTCTCTGTGACATCACTTCTGTGGTCCTGCTAGGTGCCACTGTCATCTTGTTCTTCACAAACAGTGGCGAGGAAATTACTTCTAAACCTTCTTACTCCCAGACTATTTGTCTGTAGTCCTGAACTATAATGGTTTTACTGTGAAATGCATGAAGTTCTGCACATCTTAACTTTATCGGGCATAAATATCTCAAACAAGTTGTTTTAAAATCCTAATTACTTTTTGTAAATTTGTGTGTTTCTTTTGTCCTCAGCTATCTGTGGTAGCTATAGGAATTAGCATCTATAGGACATCAACTGTCGATATGCTCCTGAAGAAGCTGCTGGAAGATCAAAACTCATTCCCCAATTTCGAACCCTTAGCATATTGGCAAATGCAGTTTAACAACATTGCTGCAGTCACTGTGTTTTTTGTCTGGATTAAGGTAATTCAAGACACACATCTTTATTCTAACATTAGAATGTAAGCAGTATTCTGAGTTTCATGAGACGCATTATTTGAGGTTTACTCATGTTTCTCTCAAAGTCAATACTGTCAGAAAGTCAGAACAGTGATAACTTCTTGCAGGTGAAAAGCTAAGCTGTAATTTGCCACAGGTGTAGTCAGCTCTTGTTTAGGTCTAGAAGATGTAGTCAGTGCTTGTGTTTTATCAGCAGACATGTTAAGAAATGTCTTTATTATTCCTCAATTAATAAGTCAGTAATTCTTAAGGGGTACTGCTTTGTCTCCAAAGCCGTGTGAAGTAAGACATCTCATGTAAAAGAGTGGAGAGCAATTATGTTCAGAAATTGTCTTCCTTCTCTTGTCAGCTTTTTTCTATTCTTTTCTTTTTTCTTTTAACAGCTTTTCAAATTTGTTAACTTCAACAGAACGATGAGTCAGTTATCCACCACGATGTCTCGCTGTGTAAAGGATGTCATTGGCTTTGCCATTATGTTTTTTATTATTTTCTTGGCATATGCTCAGTTGGCCTATCTTGTCTTCGGCACTCAAATTGATGACTTCAGCACTTTCCAGGATTGCATGTAAGTACAGGTATAAAAAATGCAAAGAAGATTTAGGTGCATCAGTGAATCGGTTACTTTATCAGAGGCAAATCCTGTGACGCCCATCTAAGCAGATAAGCTGCAGGCACACAGCTGTTGATATAACCTGGTAGCAAACACATTTTTATAACATTTTTATCTCTGTGTTATTGCTGTCAGAGCAGTAAGCCAAAAATGGCAGGGCTGAGTTGGTGTGTTATGATTTTTACAGGGGTTGGTTACATTCCTAGACAAAGCAATGACTCCATGTTCAGTGATTAAATGCTTACTGAAATATTGGATACATAATAAGGCTGTGTTCCTAATAGTGTTCATAGTTGCTTGAGTCAGAGTCCATCTTAGCCAACCACAAAATTTGTAAGTATCTGGAATCCAGGAGAGAGAGAGGACTTAATATAAGATTGCTAATCAATTTTTCCTTGGTTGATTTGGCACAACATAACCTGATTGTAACTGAGGAAATTAACAGGTTGGTCAGTCACTGATTTCCCCTGCTCCCTTACACTGGGGCAATGTTGCAAGGAGTTTCTTGCAGAGAAGTGAAGGAACTGGAAATATGCTGATGATTGCCAAGCTTCTTCCAGCTTAGAGGGAGAGAGTTGGGGCTGTATGTGTATGAGGAAGATGGGAGTGGGTCTCAGAGCTTCACAGTAGTAACTGTTAGTTTGCTCTGCTTGCTGTTGTGACCAAAAAGGAGAAATAACCCCCATGGTTTTGTTCTGTGTGTGGTGCCTGACTGTGAGTTGGGTTATGCCTACAGATGTGCTTGATGAATTGTTTTTGCAGTTCCTGATAAAGTGTTACAACAGTGCAGATCTCTTTGCAGCCTATCAGTCTCACTGCTAGAATAAAATAGTTTGAGAATCCTCGCACAGCTCCAGTAATATTTTCTTCAGCTCCTGGATGTGTTTTGTTTTTTTAAGATTTACTCAGTTCCGCATCATTTTGGGAGACTTCAACTTCACAGAGGTTGAAGAAGCTAATCGAATTTTGGGACCTGTTTATTTCACTACATTTGTGTTCTTTATGTTCTTCATTCTTTTGGTATGTACACTTTGTTTATGTGGGGTGGGTCAGTGGCTGTTTTTGCATCACTTGTCCTTTGATTCCTCCTGTGACTTCTGGGGCATTTTCTGATAATGATGAGCATATGGCCCATGAAGGGGCCTAACTGCTACCATGACTGGTCACTACACTCTTTCCTGTTTTTCCTCATTTAAAATTGATTTGCATAGTATGTTTTTTGTCGTTCTCATGTAGTGCTCCACATTGTGGTTTTTAAATTTATTATTATTAATAATTTTATTTCTAAAATCTGAATAGTGCCTTGTTGGCAGATACAGCAAGGCTGTCTCTTTTGGTGAAAAGTAGCTATACTGTTCCATGCAGTCTCTTGGTTCATAAAGTGCTCTAATGTGTGGCTGGCTGTGTTTACAGCAGCCTTGTCGTGCATGCCACACACAGCTTTGCCTGCTGCAAGAGCATGGTTCTTCAGCAGTCCTGTATCATCATAATTTTTAGTGTTATTTAATGACCCTCATAGTTAGTGCAGCTTTTTGTTGCTATTTGAGATGAGGAAGAATGGCATTCAGATTTTATTTGTGGGAAAATATTTAATCTTGGATGTTCTCTAGTAAGGATGCAGAGAATTTTAAGTGTTTTGTGAGGAATTAAATTGTTTGGTGAGATGGACCAGGATTAAATGGGAAAATAACATGTGTCACTATGTGCCAAAGGTTCACACAAAGCAGTTTCCTATTTGCTTTGTAGCACCTAAAGCATTCCAGAGGAACAGCCTAGTGTCGAGCAAGGGAAAGAGTATCTTTTTTCTAAGGGGCAACAGAAAAGCACTGGAAAGTGAAGTCAGAGCAGGTTATCCAAAATACTCACTGTAATTTGTGTATTTTTTAGTATCATTTTGCCTGAATGAAATGTTGATGCAAGTCCCTTGAGACCAGTCTGAGACCTGGAAATTAAGTTAGGGAAGATGGGCAGAAAGCACCAACTCTTAAAGCTGCGCAAAATAGCAGCAGAAAATGGCACAGCAGTGAATTGTCAAGTTACCTCTTACTTCTCTGGTGTTGGGCATGAATGCATAAAGATACGACACTGAAAGATTTTTCCAAAATATGTTTTTTAAGTCCATGAGGAAACTGCCTTTCTACACTGAACATGCCAGTAAACTGGGTAACTCTTCTTGAATGTGCAATTTGTAATTCAGTCATGTTTACTCCATGTCTAGCAGGAGCCTTTCAGTGATGACAGTATGGTTTGATTAAGTTACATTCTTGGCACAGAGTTAGTGAGACCAATATTTTCTCCTTTTTCTGAACAAGAAAGAGCTCTTTCCACAGTTGGTGCCATAAATGCCAAGTGCCTGATTTTAAGCTTTGTGATTTTATCTTTAGTCTGAAATGCAAGCAGAGCTGTAACTAGATAAGAACCTTTGGTTTGTGCTGGCTATTACAGGATGAGTAGTTAACTTGATTCCTCTGGCATTTTTGTTGCCAGCTGTTTTGCCTGAATTAATTCACATCTGTTACCTGTGTAAGTTTTGCCTTGCAGGGTTTACTGCCACTGCTGTGTGTAGCTGTGAGCCCTCTCTGGAAAGTAATTCTCCAGTTATGTTAATAACCAATGATGTTGAGTAAAATTTGTTGTGCTGCAGCACATCGTATTTCAATATCAAGCTCTGGATGTTAGTTTCATTTTAAACACATCACCATTTTCTTCTGGCCTTTTGAAACAAAATCTATCTTAAGGTCTGCACAACAAGGTCATAGGAGTAGTAGGGCTCAGCCCTGTTGAAATTTGAAATTTCAACATTTTTGTTTTCTCTTATGAACAGAACATGTTTTTGGCCATTATCAATGATACCTACTCTGAAGTCAAATCAGATATGGCACAACAGAAGGCAGAAATGGAATTGTCTGACCTTATCAGGAAGGTAAATGTAATACTTTGGTTTTTTGACATCTTATTCGTCACATCTGAACTTATTTCATAAAATACTATATAAGCTGTACAAAGTAAAGCTGGCAGCAGCTGGTCAGAGTACACATCTCAGTTAAAATAAATTAATCTGAGCTGAGTGTAGATTAAATGAGTGAAAACTTCCCATCTCAATGTATTTCAGTCATCTGAGACTTTGCCTTGAATGCTCACACTGAACGCACTGAATGAGATTGTACAGTAACTGATTTCTCTAATCAATAAAGTTATTAGAAATTTCATTTTGTGAGAAACAACAAATTTTACTTTCTCTTTTAGGGCTACAACAAAGCCATGATCAAACTTAAGTTGAAGAAAACTACTGTTGATGACATTTCAGAAAGCCTGAGACAAGGTGGAGGAAAACTCAATTTTGATGAACTCCGGCAGGATCTCAAAGGGTAAGGGAGTTGTTACTTCTTACCTTGAATAGTACAGCCAGGGACTTGTGATGTTAACTTTTTGATGTGATTTTCCTCTAGCAGAAGCACACTAATGTGGATAAAGACAACACCAGAGTGTTTTTCTCTGCATTATGGCTGGTGTTGGTATCGCATACCAGAGAAAGGTTTTTGGAGCTCTGGGGCCCAACCTCTGTCGCCCTGATTTTGTAAGACTTTGTTAAGCCTTCTGATGTTTACATTCTTTCAACAAACTTTCTCACACACAGTTCTGTAAATAACCTATGTTTTGCATTCTTTCATGGAGGTGGAGAGAATTGATGGACCCTTGGTCTGTCCAGTGGCATTGGAGAGGTGGCACTGTCACCCTCCAATCCACTGTCACCTTTGGAAAACTATAAATGTTGGAGTCAGAAAATAAAGTTCTTCTTTTTCTTTTTGTTCCCCTCGAGAGCAGCAGTGTCTGTGTCATCATTTCGTGCCTTATCACAACAAACCTCCTTAAATTTCTGTGTTTTGAGGAGAAAAACACAGAAATCTCTGAGGAAGCAGAGGTCTTTGAGGAAATGGTAATGTTTCTGTCAGACCACTGCAGGAGTTTGTCAGGAGTCCAAGGCAAGGGTACAAATCAAGAAGATATAGAAGGGAGTTGTGAAGGAGAAATGTTCAATGTAGGGAAGATTGGTCCTTTAAGTAATGAAGGATAGGGACTGATGGGTTTTTATCAGTGTTATGAATCTATAGGCCTTTGTCTTGAGGATGAAAGTTTATTTGAAATGAAATGTTTTCTAATACAGAGTTCTTTCAGCATCTGAAAAATGGAAAGTGAAGGAACTGCTTTTACTGCCTTTTCAGGAAGGGGCACACAGATGCAGAGATTGAAGCAATATTTACCAAATATGATCAGGATGGGGACCAGGAATTGACAGAGCATGAACATCAGCAGATGAGAGATGACCTGGAGAAAGAGAGGGTGAGCTCAGCACTAGGAGTGGGATGCGTCCAGCACTGTCTGCCAGTCTGCTACCTGTGCTGGTTTCCTGCCTCAGAAAAATCCTCTTGTCCCCCTTCACTTCTGCTGTCATTCCTGGCTGTCTGAGCAGAACTCTAAAAAGGCACAGGGGAACTGATAGAGGACAGGAGCTCTTTGACCTTGACACCACCATCCCCCATGTACAGGTGAAAGTTTTTTACATCTCTCTCTCACTCTCTCTCTCTCTGGCTTGTGGTTTCACAAAGGAGGATCTGGACCTGGATAGGAGCTCTCTACCACGTCCCCTGAGCAGCCGCAGCTTCCCCCGGAGCTTGGACGACTCTGAGGAGGATGAGGATGAAGACAGCGGGCACAGCTCCAGGAGGAGGGGCAGCAGCTCTAGTGGGGTTTCCTATGAAGAGTTCCAAGTGTAAGCTTATCCTTCTGAGGGGGACAAATCTGCATGTTGGGTTTTGGTTGTTTTCTTCTTATTTCATTGTGGGTTTTTTTCTTTGGGTTATATAGTATTCTCTCCTTCATATTAATCAAATTATTCTTAAAAGCAAGTGTTAGGATTTTTTGCGCATAAGTCACTCCTTTTAGTAGCTTTCAAATAATATCTGAACTGGAAGTGCCTTAGAAAGCCTTGTGGAAGCTGGTTAGAATATAGAAAATCAGAATAAACAAAAAAAAAACAGCAACAAAACCCCTGTCCTTAAAACCTTGTAATTGAAAAGTCAGAGAAAAGGGTCATGTTACAATAATGACAGAAAAGATTTTTCTGTTTTTTTAATTAGTAAACCGTTTAGTTATTTTAAGTACAGTGAGAGCTTTAATGGTTGTTTTTAATAAGAGTAAGTTACTCATGAGTGTATATTTTGTCCGAAGTGATAGATCTCCATATTAATTAATTACAGCAACACTAGCTGAATAAAGAATTATATAACTGCAACCAACAAATTTTCATGATGATGTCCTAGGAGCAGTGAAAGCAGAGTGCAAGATATACTTTTTTTCCCCCATGTTTTACTTTCTTGCCCCTGTTTTACTTTCTTGCTCTGGTATACCTCGTCCCTCCTAGATAGTAGGACTGGTCTGTGGGGTGTCAGAGGCGTGCTTGGATAACAGTGATGTCTCATCCTTGTCTGCTCTGTGTGTTGACATGCTAGAACGGTGCTGACTGGGCAATGTCCGAGTCACTGAAGCTCCCACTTGTTGCCTTCAGACTCATGAGGCGGGTGGATCGCATGGAGCATTCCATTGGCAGTATCGTCTCCAAGATCGATGCTGTTATGGTGAAGCTGGAAGCCATGGAGAGGGCCAAGCTAAAAAGGAGAGATGTGCTGGGAAGGCTGTTAGATGGAGTGACAGAGGTAAGAAAGTCACTCTCTGGGGTCTGGTCACAACCTGGATGTCTTCCTTTCTGTTGGTAGTTCTTCCTTCTGCCTGGCTTGGCAGGATTGAAGGAGTGGTGATAAAGAGGAGGTGGGTGCTTTGACAGTAAGTGCGTGGTTTCAGTTAGGTGTTAGGAAAACATGAAATTTAAAACATGAAATTTTGGGAACATGATTCAAGATTCAGATATGACAACATGTCTTATGGCAGCCATGTCACCATTTAAACCTGTGATCTGGAAAGCAGTGGTGTTCAGTAGTTGCACCATTCCTTAGTGTCTGTTGGGATTAATATAATATTTTTTGTGGACTAGTCTGTTAGAGTCTATGGGATCCAGCCCAGTCTGCTCTTATTCTCCTTTGTTGCTTCTGGGACTGTGTGTGGCAGGTGGGAGAGGTCACTTCTGTCACCAGGGTTACCTGACTTCTGCTGCTTCCCCTTTCACTCTCTCTTTCCTTGAGGGCCCTTTGGAAGTGGCCAGTGGGAGGTGTGTTACTTCTGTAGATGCTAAAATCTGTCAGGTGGTATACAAGTTGTGCTTTCCTGGGTGGCAACCTGGGCATTTAATTTCATCCCTGGAAATAAAACAGTTTGCTGTGGGAGCTGTTTTCCCATTAGCCTATGGAAGTACTCAAGCAGTATAAGAATTTCTTGTGGTTGTATAGGGTTTTGCCTGGACTTCAGTTTGGAAGCTGCACTTCCAGCTTGTGTCTTTTAATGTGTTTAGGACGAAAGACTGGGCCGGACCAGTGAAATCCACAGGGAGCAGATGGAGCGGCTGGTGCGAGAGGAGCTGGAGCGTTGGGAGTCGGACGACACGGCCTCCCAAATGAGCCATCGGCTGGGAACGCCCCTGGGACTGAGCGGCCAACCGCGCTCCAGGAGCTCCCGGCCATCCTCTTCCCAGTCAGATGGTGTTGATGCAGGAGCAGGAAATGGGGGGAACAACATCCATGTGTAGCTTGGGCTTTGTAGGTGATTCCACATGTTTCAGTATTCAGCCAGCAAATTTCCCAGCGTGAGGGGATTGTTCTGATCAGACCCCTGAGGACATCTTTCACTGGTTTCATCTTTCACTCCATAAATCATTTTCAGGCCTGTATAAGCCATGTGTAATGCCAGCAGTGAGAATGTCACCCTTGGAAACAAAAATGTTGGAAACTGAATCGATAGCAAGTGAGACAAAATCTACCAGGACAGAAATCTGATTCCATAAAATATTATTGGGAACACTTGCACAAGGGCAGCAAGCTTCAGACAAAATAATGTGCAGTGGCTGGCATACTAAGAGGCTATTAATTTTCTGCTTCCTCTTGGAAAATACAATTTTTAAAGGCTTTTAAAAGCAAATTTTAAAATAATATGGCATCAGTTTGTCTTATTCGTTATAACAGCTGACAGATAAAACAGCACTTTTTTTTAAAATATGAGTTTCTACTTGTCTTTCTGAGTTATTCTTGGTATACTAGTATTTTACTTAATTTAAAAAAAATTTTTTCCTGTTTTAAGAGGAACATTTCTTTAAGCAGAAGAAAGTGCAATTAGTCTGTACAACTGTAAATTGCATCATTCTGTGGTAGAAACTGAATGCATTATAAGTAGCATTTAGCAAGAAATACTTGATAACTGCCTCCTCACACCCAACTAACATAATAATTTTAAGCTAAGTTGCAAAGTACCCATTCTTTAGTGCTGTCTTTTAATGATTTAAGTGTTTCTGGGATAAACATTCCAGAGGTTCTTAGATAAGTACAGCTACTTTGCAGAAAATACATTATTTAAAAGCACACAAAATTGAAAACCACTGAGTTTTCCTTGGGTGTGACAGGGAAAGCGGCAGAGAAGTTTCTGACATTTGGGAAAATCTGATCTTGTGCTGTGTGAAGTTCTAATCACATCTCAACTATGTGGTCTGTATTTACATTTAACTAAACTGCTTGTGAAATTATTAGCTACATTGTGAAATGATTTCTACACAGACTTCTGCTACACAGGAGGTACAACACAGGATTCCTTTGAGAAGATGTTTGTATTATAATCACTGATTTTTAGTATTTAATTCCCTCTGCTTTGTGTCATAGAAGCTTTATTTTTGAAAGGACATGCAACGTTGAAATTCTGTTGGTTTCCTATAGAGAGCACCGAGGCAGTGTTTGCAGTTTTGCCTAGGAATGTGTCTCCATATGTGGAATGCTGGCTTAGGAGGGAGGCTATTTTTTCCTGAAGATGGCAGTGTTCTGGTGTTTAAAGACTGAAAGCTGGTGAAAAAGATAATGGAAAGCTACATAATCAACCACATCTCAGCTATCAGTAGCGTATGTAGAGGAAAAAAGGCCAGTTTAACAAAGTATAAGTGGCATGTGTTATGTTGGTGCCTTCTGTTTCAACAAGCAGTTGGTATCTCTTCATTCTTGTGGTAGTGCTGCTTAGGCAAAGCTTCCATGTTCCATATATCCTTGCAATGGCATTGCCTGGATGTGCAGTGGCTCAGAATGCCTTTTCTCTAACCAGGGAACTTGCTAAAACTAAATAGAATTCAAACCTTTCCATTTTTAATTTTATGAGAAACTATATGCACAGAAACCTAATGTAAGCTGGAAGAGGAGGAAATTCAGTCCTGGAATTTCATAGTAGCTGTGTCTTGGGAACAGAATTATGTAGGAGCACAAGTTGTAGTTCTTGTGTGGGTTATTTGGTCCTGTATTGGGAAGAAATTCATACCCTTTCACGAGAGTCCTCATGAACTTGTGAAAACAGTGCACAGCACAGTGGGTAGGGCATTTGTGTGGGAAGAGAGCATCCAGATTAAGCTCTCACTTGCCTTGAATGAAGGGTTTTACACCCCAGAAACCTTTCTGAGGAAAGCTTTTCGGTATTGAACTGCATTTCTGACTGTAAACAAACAGACCAAAGAGAAACACCAGCTGTACACATGGCCATCTGGTGTGCAAGGAAAACAGAAAATACTGTACCAAAGCAGTTTAAATATATAGACCCTTGTCTTTATATTCATATCCAAAATGTGTCTTTCAAAATGTAAATTCAGTCACTCAATTCACCTTTCATTCGTAGTATATGTTTATTATGAAAATGTTTGCATTAATAGCGGTATTTGTTGGGGTGTATTTCTGTAATATGTCGTTACTTGATAACAAACTTCATCTTGAAGTGCAGTAAGTTTCCATGGGGTACCCATGTGCTTTGGCAGTGGGCCTTGCAGTAAGTGCAGTGCCACTTCATAAACGTTACAAAACATTTTATTGATGCATTTTTCAGTTTAGATTATAATATCATTTGTCACTTATTACAAAGGTACAGTTTTTTGCATAGTAATGTACAATGTTTGGTCTCATTAGGAAGCTCTTAATTATGGAAGTCTTCTAGAATGATCAAGAATGAGCACTTTACTTCCTAATAAACATCTTATATAATCTACAAAGCAAATATTGTGCCTACACTTGGTTTGTTTATAATGGAACATGAAGGATCGTACATTTTATTTGTGTTACTTTTAGCTCATACCTTATTCTCAGATTACCTAATAAAGAGAGTAGAGGGTGTAAATGAACACATTGGACTGGGGTGATCCTAGGGATTCATTGCCCAAACAGTTCCTTTTTTAACACTTTCTTATAGATTTGTGTCAGCACAGGTCTGCTTTCTGCTATTTCAGGTAGCAGCTCCTCCTGCTAGTAACTGTCTCTTCATTACTTGCTGGATAATTTAAGGTTTTTTGTTTCTCTATTCCCCTTCCCCTTCCCCCCCCCCCCCACCCCGCCCCCCCCCCGCCTTGTTTCAGGAGGGAATACTACAGCATCTAGAGGGTTTGAATAGAGCTGGGAAAGCCCAGGCTGCCATGTAAAACCCATGGTTCTCTCTGGACAGCTGTATTAATGAAAATGGAATTATTAATGTAAATACATCTCAATCTTTAATGAAATACATACATACTGGATTTATTAAGTATATTAAGCCTTTAGTCAGTGCACGATAAAAGTCACAGTGTGTGGGAAGTGGGAACTCTGTCTATCTGTCTATCATCTATCTATCTATCTATTTAATACTGTGTGTATGCTGTAACATTGCTGATTTTGGAAGGTTTCTTCAGGAAGTGCAATTTGAGATGTATATTTGGAATAAGAGCTTTTTGGAGTAATTCTTCCATGTCCACAGGCATTACTTGGATGTCTTGTATAGTCCAAGATTCTTCTCCAGTAAATCTAAACAAGAAAAACTTGGTCAAAAAACTGAGGAAAAGGGGTAAAAATGTTATGATTAAAGTTCTGCAAGAAATTGTCACTTGTATAACAAGGACTTCCAGGTTTTAAGCACTGATCATGCAAAACAGGTACAGAAAGGTGGAGTGACAGCTTAATGGTTCAGGTGACAGACTGACATTCAAAAGAGTTGTGTTTTATTTGTGTCACCTCACACTGATGCCTTAACACACACTCAGCTGCTTCCAGCTTGGATCAAAGGGCTGCTACAAACATGCTGCCTAATCACCAGTAATGCTAAAACAAAAATTTTCCTTGTATTGGGGATTCTGGCCGCTCTTCTGTTTTGTTTCTACTCCAAGGAATAGCCAGGGAGACTGAAACTGCATCCCAGAAGGCAAAGAGCAGCAAACTTGTGCCTTCTGTAATGGGCCTGAATTTGGATGAAATGTGAAAGCAGATTTCCTACAGCCAGGTGTTTAGGTGTTTTGGAGCAGGTCTACCAGCAGCTGGTCGCCAGGAAGGGAGCAAGAAGGGTTTTGAGATGTGGGGAGTGTTCTGGGTTTGTGTGGCTCTCAGAAAGTCATTAATAATAAATGCAGTAAGATTGCCAAAGGACTGATCATGACAGTTGGCATCAGCCACAGTTTTGCTCGTGACATTTTGACAAAAGTTGAGACCAGTGATTTCATTCATTTGCAAAGCCGTGGAAAGAGTTAATGATTAGCAGAGACTCACGGGACAAAATGCTCATGAAGGAATTATTCATAAAAAACAAATCAACAGTGTTCAAATCTTATAGAGTTAGAATTTGTTTTAACTCCTGTTCAGGTTTTAAGACTTCTAGTTTTGAAAAAAGTAATTTCCAGTGAGAAGAGTTAGGCTTTGTTTTCTGGGAAGTCACAGTAGAGGTGTTTTTGAAATAAAAACTTAACACTGTCAAAAATGCCTCTGTGTGCTGCTCAGGCTGCTGCTTTTCACTGTTGCGTGGAGAGTGCTGTGATGAAACAGTCAAAGGAAAAGAATGCTCCTTTCAGGCTAAACCTGAAATTACCAGTTCATTCCAAAGTCTGAGATAAGTACACTTCTGTACTGCCACCAGCTTTTCCTGGAGCCAAGGTGGATGCTGTCAGACTGAGTTCCCCAGCTTCTCAGTTGAAGATGTCTTTGTGCAGAAGATGCAGCCAGGAGATGCAGCACCTTGTGTTGCAGAAGGACAGAGCTGGCAAGCACTGGAAAGAAATTTCCATTTTCTCTCAGTGTTCCTGTGATGCCACAGCTGTGTAATAAAGGCCAGCTGTGTTTCATGGCTTAGTTATTTGAAACAGTTAAGTGAAGAAACAGGTTTGACAAGGGCTTTAACTGTCTTAACTGGTTGTAATTTCATGCCCAGAAAGAAGAGGAAGGAGATGTTGACTGGGAGAGGAAAAACATTTACGTTCAAGATACTTCTCCTTTTTTTGTGGCACAGGAAAATGAAAATAAGATCTGACAGGAGAACTAATTTTTTTTTTAAAAAAAAGAAGGGAAATATTTAGGTTTTAAGAAGTTGTTCATGTCTGTAAGAACCATAATCATAGATTATTTAGCAAATAGAAGTGTGTCACATGGAAGACTCAGGGGAGCAACTCCAGGAGTCTTTGTTGGCATTGCTATTTACATTATCAGATTATACTGTCTCCTCCTGCTATGTACCTGTTGTGTAAAAAGACACAGCTGAACACTTCCCTGAATGTTCAAGAGGCATTTTTATAAGTTGATGCTTATAAAAATGGCATTTACCAGTTAATATGAGAAAGCTATTCACCTTTTTTTAAATTTTCTAAATCACGATGTTCTCTTTTAGAACATTTGTCTAAAGTGTGCAGAAAACCTGGCACTGTAGCAAGGAATACTGAAATTTTTTATCCAGGAAATAAAAGTTTGAATACTTGTAGTGGTTATCAGCATCCCAGAGAAAATTTGCAAACTGAAAATAAGTAACTACAAACCCATAACAGGGATCATTTGAGTACATTTGACTCACCTTGGACTGCTGCTGGTGTGTGTCCAGAAACAATGCCCATGATGTTAGCTGCAGTGCCTGTCTGCAACCCTACAGAGCAGGGTATTGCATCCTCAGAACTTGACTCTGTGCCCACTGGGACAGTGGAAAAGTAATCAGAAGGCAGGTGGCTATTTCATAATACTGGCGAGTGAGGGAGTAATTGCAGTGTTGTGTTCTTGAAGAAGCAGGGTGACTAAGATTTTGGAAAGGCAGCTTTGTTGAGAATGAACCAGACATGACCCAAAGCCTTATGGAAGCAAAGATTATTTCTCTTGAAATATGAAGGAAATATATGAAACTAGAGAAGCAGAGTTTACTTATTTTAGTAGGTTGGGCTTCCCTTGAGTTTCCACATGTAAAGAAACTTCTGTTTTGAGCTCTTAGTCTATAACTATTTCATCTCTGAAGACAAGAGATTGACATACATAATTTAAAATTTTTTTTGTGATGTTGCTATCCTAATTGTTTTCTTTCTTCCTTCTCAGTGGATATATTCATTATCATTATTGTTTGATAGCTTCCAGTGTCCACCTGACATAACTTCTTTCTGTCTTTTATGTTTTTGGTTGGTTTTTTTTCAATTCTTGCTCTGTACTGGAAAAACACAGAACTGCAAACCTTTTGATTGATTTATTCTCTGTTTTAGTGGGATGCTACTCTACAAGCACATTTCTCAATGCCTCCTGGAAAACCCAAATGAAACAAATGTTTTTCCTCACAGGTGGTTAGAATGCAGCCTACAAGGCTCTTATTTTATCCACCAGCGCAGAAGTAAGAAAGGTTATGACATTTTTTTACGCAGCCCAAAGCATTCAGCCAGTGGTAGTAGCTTCACTACCACTGTAGTGGTGAGAACTAGAGGGTCAGCAAGCACTCAGACACTTGTTAAATCTTTGCTTTTGAACAAATACCATTTATAAACCCTTGGTACACTGTGAAAAATAAGTCACAATGCTCAGGTCAGTGCCATGGGCCTTTTACATGTGTCATTTGAAAAGTCAACAGCCAATATCATGCAGTTGTCCAAGTATGTGTATTTTCCGTACTGCGTAACCCTTCTGCCTCCTCATCAAAAGCCATTCATACCGCTCTGCCACCAGGCTTGCTAACCTGCTTCACAATCCACTGAAATGATTCTTTATTCTAGAAGAATTACTCCAACAATTGTAATTATTGATTATTTAATATTTTTAGCACAAAGAAGCAGCTAAAACAGTAGAATTGAATACCAGTGATTTCAGTTTTGCCAGTGCCCTTCAGCATATTAAGAGCTCTCAAGTAATAAAGGTTTACTCCTTAGGCTGCTCTTAGAATTAGGTTGCAGTTTACTTATTTCTTCTTAATAAATAAATATAGAGCTTTTTCAGGCTCCTCTGAATTATGGCATTCCAAACTTGTGTAAGTTTTAAATATTTTTCCTAGGACATGACCACTTCAACTGGGTGATGTATTAGCTGTATCTAGCCTGCTTATTATCTGTTCTTGCCTTCATGAACATTCACTACAAGGAAAAAGCAATTACTTTCAGTTACTGGCACAGAAAATATCAACACCTTAGTTTCTGTACTGAAAGCAATAAAATTTAAAAGTTTAAAATTTAATTTATCTTTTAAGATTATTGTCATAAAGTTGCATTCAAACTAATTGAATTAAATGAGTTTAAAAAGTCTTTAGAAAATATCAACCCTCAGCTTGTGATTTATGTTAATTGAAGTTGTTCAGACGGAGGATGTAAAGAAAAATCTTCAACTAGATTAGTACTCTAAAACCTAAATAAAAGTAAGTCTTTATAGTTTCCAAGAGTACAGATTAAATAACTTGCTGTCAAAGTGTATGCAAACTAAAGAGGAATTTTCATACATGAAAACACATTTTCAGTCGAGTTAGTGATATAATCAGAATCATTAAGTTCTGTATATCACACTTTTTAAATACTAAATGAAAATTACAAAAAGCTGAGAAAAACAATGGTATCAGGCAGTTCTGTCATTTTTAAGACTGAGCAATGCATGAGTCTTAACACCATAAACTACTTAATCCTGTTACTCTCTTGCTAAGATCCTCCTGAAAGGAGCAAATGTCAGGGATAATTCAGCTCCTGAGCCAGCTGCAGTGGAAAGCAGGGATCATTTCAAGACCAATTTGGAGCAGATTAATGAAAAAAGGCATAATAATCCATGGACTCCTAAAAGAATGCTGGACAAATCCACCCCTAATGAGGGTGGGGAGATAAAAAAGATTGTGAGAAACAAGTCAGGACCATTAACTTCGGGCTATGAAGGAGGTTCTTGAGAGTCTAATTCTTGTCACAAGGTCAGGCTTTTACAAAGCAATTATTA